TGCCTGCCTCTGCCTCCTGAGTGCTGGGACTAAAGGCGTGTGCCACCATGTCCGGCTAGAATTTTAACTCTTGAAGTTTTTTGTTGTTGCTTTTTTTTTTTTTTTTTTAAATGTTTATGAGTGTATTGCCTGCATGTGGTAAGTGCACCCATGTCATGCAGTGCCCAAGGAGGTCAGAAGAAGGCATCATCAGATCCCCTGGAACTAGAGCTACAGATGGTTATTAACCACCATGTGGGTGCTGGGAATTGAACCCAGATTCTCTGCAAGAGCAGGCAGTGCTCTTAACCCCTGAGCCATCTCTCCAGCCCTGATGAAATATTTTTTAATTCTCCCAAAAGATAATGGAATATTTAAGCAAAATTAGTAACAGTGTGCTATATTGTTTCTAACCAATTTAAAAATGAAATATGACTACAGCAGTATAAAGAAAGGGTAGGAAAGTATCTTCTGACATGTATTGGGATGATACCATTTGAAGATTGACTATGATAAATTACATGATGCATTGGAAATTTTAAAGAAGTCATTAAAAAAAAATCAAAACCAAAAGAGGTACAGCTAGTAAAGCTGTAAAACAAATGAAATGGAGTCAAAAGAAATGCACAAGGGCTGGGCAGTTGCTCAGCAGTTAAGAGTACTTGCTGCCCTTCAAGCGGACCCAGGTTTGGTTCCCAGCACCCGTTTGGGGCAGCTAATAGCTGCCTGTAAGTCCAGCTCCAGGGGATCCAGTGCCTTCTTCTGACCCTACAGGCACCTGTACACACACACAGACACACACACACACACACACACACACACACACACACACGTACATAATTTAAAAAGAAAGATTCAGTTTAGAACATGTCAGAAAAAGAAGGGAAGTAGGACAGTGATCCCTGATGTAGTCAGTTAGGCTCCATCAGCTGGTAGTTTGTGCTGTACTGCCAGAGCTGTGTGTTGAAGGTGCCCTAATATATTCATTTATAATCTAAGGATTGGCGCCCATTTTAGAATTTAGCTTGTTTTTATAGGAAGTCTCTGTCAGTATTAAGGACTATTCTTTCTCATTGCTTCCTGTTTTACATTCTCACAGTCAGTTAGCACCTTTCTCCCCTCTCGATCAACACTGTAGGTGGAAAAGGCTTGGGTTGTGTCATTTAATTTCTGTACTTGCATGACCAAAGATACTGCATGGTAAAGTGGGATGGGTTATCTTTGATATTTTTCTGAGGTGTCTCAACATGCTTTTTTTTCTTCTTCCTCTGAATTCAGAGACATGAAAAATGCTGTTATTGGAAACAATAAACAGAAAGCCAACCTCATTGTTTTAGGAGCTGTTCCAAGGTATGTTTGCTATCTAACTGCTTTTTCTGCCATTCATGCGAAGTTTCTAATGTACTTCTTAACTCTTAATTATAAGCTCCTCCATTATACCCTTTATAGTCTTTCCTGATAAGAAAGGCCTCTCTAGCCCTACCTGACCTGGAACTCCTGTGTAGACCAGGTTGGCCTCCATCTCACAGAGATATGCCTGCCTCTGCCTTCTGAGTGCTGGGATTAAAGATATGTGCCACCATGCCTGGCCCTTTCCTGTTGTTAAAAATAAATGCTCTAGAGCTGGACGTGGTGGTACACACCTTTAACCCCAGCACCCGGGAGGCAGAGGCAAGCGGAGCTCTGTGAGTTCAAGGCCAGCCTGGTCTACATAGTTAGTTCCAGAGCAGCTGGGGCTACAGGGAGACAATCATCTCTAAGGAAATGTACACACATAAATGCAGGGCGCACACATGCACACATTACCAGAGCATGAAATACATGAGTGTATTAATCCTTTTTGATAATTCATGAAGTTTATTGACCCCATAATAGAAGAAAGAGTTTGTTGGATACATAAACAGTATCTACCAGCTCTTTCCTGGCTTCTTAGAGCTCTGGAAATTTTTATGTGATTGGGTAATTTTTGTTAGGATTCTCAGGGTCTTTTTCAATTTACAAAGAAAAAAATTTGTTTGGCTTTTCATACTACTTTTACTTATTATTATTATTGTTATTATTATTATTATTATTATTATTATTATTAAGTCTTTTTGAGACAGGATTTCCATGTAGCCCCAGCTGGCCTGGAGCTCACCATATAGACCAGACTGTCCCCAAACTCACAGAAATTCGCCTGCCTCTGCCTCCCAGTGCTAGGTCTAAAGGCATGCACCACCATGCCTGGCTCATACTGCTTTTTAAATTTCTTATTTTAAGAATCTGGGTTTGGGGGCTGGAGGATTGGTGTAGCAGTTAAGGTCACTGACTACTCTTTTAGATGATCAGGCTTAATTCCCAGAACCCACATGACGGGCTAACAACTGTCCATAACTCTAGTTCCATGGGATCTGACACCTTCTTCTGGCCTCTATGAGCATTGCACATATGTGGTGCACATTATATACACACAGCACCAGGTTCACAGGAGTGGACCAGAACTCCAGCTCACATGAGGGGACCCCAACTCTGACTCATAGGAGGGACTCACATACAGCTCCAGCTCACAAGGTGGGACCACAGCATCAAGGCTCATGGGGGTTGTATACCTCATTCCTCCATCTTCAAGAAACACCTCTGTTTTTTAGGTTAGTATAGAAAGTTTGATTCTTTGGTGAGTTGATAGACTTCCTTTTGTCAGGTAATGATAGAAATATAACTTGTTCTTTGTCTTTGATACTCAGAACTAAGTTTTATGAACAATTGCTGTAAGTTTTTCATTATGATTTAAAATTTTTTGTTTTTTTCTTATTTCTATCTTTTGATACAGCATTAATGATTCTAATGTTTTAATATCACTAACCACAAATATATATACTTTATTTAACCATAAAGGATTCAGCAGCCTTTCTGGGAATTCACATTTCTCTCTGTCTCTGTGTGTGTATGTCACTCTGTCTGTGTGTGTGTGTGTGTGTGTGTGTGTGTGTGTGTGTGTGTGTGTTACTTTAAGGAGCATGAGAGCTCTTAGAATAAGGGAGATGGTTACAAGTGGTTGAGGGTGAGGATTTGGTAGTAGTTATTTGCAAACTGGTCAAGAATGGAAATGGGAGAATTGGAGAGAGAAGAAATTCCTTTTTGAAGAACTTCGCAAGACTCATTGAGTATTTTCATTAAGAAAATTAGTAAGGGCTAGAGAGCTGGCCCAGAGGTTAAGAGCATTTGCTGTACTTCCTGCTCTTGTAGAGGACCCGGGTTCAGATCCAGCACCCACATGGCTGCTTACAACCTTTGAGGGCACCCAACTCCTTATTTTGGCTTCTGTGGGCACCAGGCATACATGCCAGCAAAACACTCATATACATGTAATAAAAATTAATCTTTGAGGACTGGAGAAATGGTTTAGCAGTTAAGAGAGCTGACTGTTCTTACAGAGGTCCTTGATTTAGTTCCCAGCACCCACATAGCAGTTAACAACTGTCTGTAACTCCAGTTACGGGGGAATCTGACACCCTCTACATGAGCATTGCATAGCATGGGTGTGCTTATATATACATGCAGGTAAAACACTCATACAATGAAAGGAAGAAAGAAAAAAGGAAGGAGGGAGGAAGGGAGGGAGGGAAGAAAGAAAAAGAAGGAAGGAAGGAAGGAAGGAAGGAAGGAAAAAAAAGAAAGAAAGAGAGAGAGAAAAAGAAAAAGTAAGTTAGTCAGAGGCCCTCTTAGAATTTATGCTCTGAATTCAGAGTCCATTTTGACTTTGAATTTCAAGTCCAATAGTGCTTGGCATTGGGAAGCTTCATGTTCTCACAGACTGCACCAGAAACCAGCAGCTTGTCAGCAACTGTAGTACTGCCTCTGCAGAGGCTATTGTACACACTTTCAGATTTATAGCTTGATAAACTGAGATATGAGGCTCCTTTTATTCAGAATAAGAATATCTCTTGGATTTTTTTCTCCATGTTTCCTCATTGAATTAGCAGATGATTAAAGTAAATAATCATTACTCAGCGGGATTCAAATAAGCTCAGTCACTCATATTTTTAGTATGTGGGCATATTGGTAGCCTTTCATCACATTGCTTTTTTATGTTAAATTACTTTTTATCAGTTTATTTACCAAGTCCTTTCTTTTTAGATTGTTGTATTTGCTTCAGCAAGAACCTTCAAGCACAGAGCTGAAAACTGAATGTGCCGTGGTGTTGGGAAGTCTTGCAATGGGCACAGAAAACAATGTCAAGTCTCTGCTAGACTGCCATATTATTCCTGCCTTACTGCAAGGTATGCAGGAAACCAATTTCACATGAGGATTAGTCTGTTTGCAGTGTTTTACATACTTGTTGAATGATGAGTTTTACGTGTAGTTTCTATTAACAGGACTACTGTCCTCAGACCTGAAGTTCATTGAAGCTTGCCTCCGATGCCTACGTACCATCTTCACCAGCCCTGTCACTCCAGAAGAGCTCTTGTATACAGTGAGTTTGGGATAGTTTGAGTCATTAGTTATACTTTTCTATCAGCCTACTCTCAAAATTCATCATAACATGTTTCAAGAAGTATTTGAGTTTCTGCTTATTTGCAAATGTTAAATGTTCTAAACTTTATGAAGAAGTGAATAATAGTCACAGACTTTGAGAAATCTACAAGCTGTTCTTAATTTCTTTCTTTGTTATTTATTTACATTTTGTGTGCGTGTTTTGTCTGCATGTGTATGTAAGTACACAGTGTGCATGCCTGTGGAGGCCAGAAGAGGGCCAGAAGCTAAGAATGGTTGTTAGTCATCCTGAGGGTGCTGGGGACTGAACCTGGGTCCCTCTGCAAGAGCAGCCAGTTCTCTTAACTGTTGAGCCATCCCTCCAGCCCCACAAGCTGTTTTTAAGAGCTCTTTTTTTTTGGGGGGGGGCGGTCTTTTTGAGACAGGGTCTCCCTGTAGCCCCAGCTGACCTGGAACTCACTATGTAACCCAGGCTGGCCTTGAACTAAACGGGTTCTACTTGCCTCTGCCGGTGCTGGGGTACA